GGTCTTGCATTTGCCTTGAACGCACTCTGTTTTATAAGTTTTCATCTCGAATCGGCTGCTCGAGGATACAGTTTGTTTCCAGCCAGCCGCCAGATACTTCCTATATTATTTTGTCGCGAACAGGCTGTTTTACAACATCATAATTTATGTCTGGGCACTATACTTACCTCATTAATAAATCATCGCGTAAGTGGAATTTCTATCGATTTCTTTGGTGCGTTTTTACTGGAGCTTGGAACACTGATAGTTCCTTTTAAGCCGTACATTTCTCACAACCACTCTTGAACAGGCTATTTAACTCAATTTAGTAAGAAAACATTCTGTTCGGTTATTGATTGGTTGTTATAGGGCAAGTGTATTCTGGGATTATTTAAACATTTATAGACCAACTTTTCCTCAGCGGTTCTTGTCCGAAACCATCCTTAGTTTAGCTTCTGATCTAGTCTAGAGCGTTGATGACCTAAAAAGTTTTTGAGGTGTTAAGTCGATATGAAATGCTTCACTAGATGTGTGGGTAAGTTGCCCAAAATGCCTCAATTTTTGGCTCATTTTGAGCGATCATTTCTTGGTTATTATTGGCTCAAATACGTTGAGCTCAAAAAACACCCATATGACAATTTCTACAGGGTGAGACCCTCGGGTCGACTTTGGCGAAAAGTCTGAAATCTCTCAAAATGTCTCGAATCTTATATCATTTTCATCCCAAAGGAGCGAGAAATGTAACCAGCTAGTTAAAAAACACTTTTAACGCTTCAGCTCAGAAATAGTCAAGATTTTTGAGCGGTCACGTTGTTTAACCGTTGATATTTTCTTTATAGAGACCCTAAAAACCGGTATGTGAAATTTGTATTTTTGACCAAATTTTTGCGAGAAAGCAAGGCAAGTTTCGTCTGATAGCAATTTGCAAAACGAGATTATTTCAGCATGCAAAAACTTCGGTGTGCCTTCGTTAAATTCGGAGCTAAAAACCCAACATTTCCAAGCCATTTAACTAAAGCAACCAGCGAACGTATATTAGAACTGTCGGAAAATTCACTTCCGTAAATTCCCGTTTTTCTCCAACATTAACTCGCAAGGTATTTCTGGGATTTTCCTTGTTTAGCCCAGATGGTGCACCAAATAGACACACAAAGAAACGCACATGGATTTGTATTTTTAGACTGCTGGGAATAAGCGGAATGCAATTATTAGGTGACGCAAATAAGGGCCCGAAATCATGCAATTTCCGTTCGTTTGGATGGAATGCAATGGAGAAATCGTGCCCTTTTCAGTTCAGTTCGGTTCGACGCCCATACAAGCCGCCCACATACGATTTTTTATACCTACGGAACGACCTGAATGGGCTTTTGTAAAACTCGTTCCATTTGTGAATATAACGGTACCAGAAACGAAAATTAGGCTCTGGGTTTCGATCCAACTTCAAATCGTTTAGATGCAGCAGAACGACCAATTTGTTAGATTGTACACAGTTTTTTTGGTTTATCAGGGAATAAAATTAACTGGCTGGCTAGAGCCCCCAATATGCGTATTGGGGGCTCTCAAGGAGCGAAAGCGACGGTCTAAATAACAGGAAATAAAGGTAATATGATTAAGATTTTCACTCAGAACAACCTCTAGATTCAAAATTAGCCAGTCAGTTAATTTTATTCCTTGAAGAAAATTTTCACAAAATTCGCACAAAAAAAAGCAAATTCGTGGATGATTTGAGCCGAAACTTGTGGAGTAAATATTCGAATTAAGCATTCTGTGGACCATTTTTTCAAAGAAAACCTATAAGGAAAAGACTTGGCTGCATTTGACAAAGGTTCAAAAAAAGCTTCTTGGCAAAATTTCGCTTCTTAAGCAGGCAGAACTTTAACAATTGACATCGTCAAATCTCGCAACGCGGTTTCAAGGGCCCCAAGAATTTGCATTTAATGTTAACTCCTGTGCTTTTGGCTGTTGAGGAGGTCGATTTGCTGCAGTTCTTTTCTACTTCCTCCTCATTTTCTGCTGTTGCTCTTTCTTCTTGCGCTTGGCCAATACTTCCGAGCATCAAATCTGTTTGTTTTTTTCATTCTTTTCACTTTCTACAGGGTGTCCCACCCCCAAATTATAGCTTGCATTATATAGGTCGTGCTGGACACTTGATCCGTTCTTCTGCGCTTCTCTAAATCAAGTGTGTGTTTATTAAGCTGTTGTTGGAGCCCCTGTAGCGCGTCTGCAAACACTCTTCCAGTAAAGCGAGTTGAAGACATCGGAAGAGCGAACAAATTGCCTTGTAGCCGTCATCTAGGTGGCTGGTGAAAAAGACTAATTACCCACGATACAAGTAAGAGACATCGCGATAATACATAGCGCAGCTGCTGTTTCATAATTATCTTTGTACCGTAAATTTAGCTTGCGCTTGACATTCGAGATGGACCGGATTCCAGATCCGCAGGATTTCACTTATCTTATGTAATCACGCCTTGGACCCTCGAGTTTGAAGTTTCACCTTTATCTGAGGAATTGCGGAATTAAAATCCAAAAAAGCCCTAAATCACTGGACGGGACGTGCATTGCACACTTGAAATTACACGCTTAGATCCTGTTCGCTGTCTGGTTTTCGTGATTTACAGTATCACAGATGGTTTTCTTTAAATAGGAAAGCTGGCCGAACGAGGCCACAGATAAAGACTGAACCTTTTATTTGTTAACTTTTTATATTCTTTATGTTTTTGCAAAAGACTAGAGGTTTTTGAGTGAATTCATGGAGATCATTGGCGTGTAAAGGACTAGACAATCGACCCTACCTCTAACGCTCTTCTTGTAGACGTTCTCAAATTTGAGCAATTTTCAAATTGAACATTTTTGCTTTCATAGCAAATTATCATTGGTGAACTTTTTGCATTCTTTATATTTTTGCAAAAAAAGCAGCGGTTTTGAGTAAATTAATGGAAAACTTTTACCCACAAAAGTGTGTAAGAAGCCAGACAATCGACGCTACTTCTACCGCTTCCTTTGTGGAAGTTCCTTAACTTATGCAAGTTAGAGATTGGATATTTCTGTTTTGGTCAGTGCTTCTCATTGGTAAAATTTGTGCTTTTTTATATGTTTGCGAAAAAAGTGGCCGTTTCTGAGTAAACTAATGGAAAACATCGGCGTGTTAATAGTCAGACAATCGTCGCTACCTCTAACGCGCTTGTTGCCGGAGTTTCAGAATTTGCACAATTTAAACACCGCAAATTTTTGCGTAAATAAGAACTTTTCATTGGCAAACTCTTTATATTCTTTATATTTTTGCCAAAAAGTAGTCCTTTCTGAGAAAATCATTGGAAGAATTAGTGTGTAAATAGTTTGGCAATTGTCGCCACCACTAACGCTCTTGTTGCAGCAGTTCCCTAATTTGGCCAATTTGGAGACTGAAAATTTTTGTTTTGCTGAGGACTTTTCGTGGGTAAAATTTTTGTATTCTTCATATTTTCGCGAAACTTTAGCCGTTTCTGTGTAAATTAATGAAAAACATTGGCGCGTTAATAGTCAGACAATCGTCGCTACCTCTAACGCTCTYGTTACCGRAGTTCCATAATTTGCGCAATTTAAACACTGCAAATTTTTGCGTAAATAAGAAATTTTCATTGGCAAACTCTTGTATCCTTTATATTTTTGCGAAAAAGTAGTCCTTTCTGAGAAAATCATCGGAAGGATTGGCGTGTAAATAGTTTGGCAATTGTCGCCACCACTAACGCTCTTGTTGCAGCAGTTCCCTAATTTGGCCAATTTAGAGACTGAAAATTTTTGTTTTGCTAAGGACTTTTTGTGCGTAAAATTTTTATATTCTTTATATTTTTGCGAAACTATGGCCGTTTCTGCGAAAATTAATGGAAAACATTGGCGTGTTAATAGTTATACAATCGTCGCTACCTCTAACGCTCTCGTTGCCGGAGTTTCATAATTTGCTCAATTTAAACACTGCAAATTTTTGCGTAAATAAGAACTTTTCATTGGCAAACTCTTTATAGTAGTCCTTCCTGAGAAAATCATCGGACGAATTGGCGTGTAAATAGTTTGGCAATTGTCGCTACCACTAACGCTCTTGTTGCAGCAGTTCCCTAATTTGGCCAATTTACAGAGTGATCATTTTTGTTTTGCTAAGGACTTTTCGTTAATTAATGAAAACATTGGCGTGTTAATAGTTAGACAATCGTCGCTACCTCTAACGCTCTCGTTGCCGGAGTTCCATAATTTTCCCAATTTAAGCATTGCAAATTTTTGCGTAAATAAGAACTTTTCATTGGCAAACTCTTTATATCCTTTATATTTTTGAATTCTTCATATTTTCGCGAAACTATAGCCGTTTCTGTGTAAATTAATGCAAAACATTGGCGTGTTAATAGTCAGACAATCGTCGCTACCTTTAACGCTCTCGTTGCCGGAGTTCCATAATTTGCGCAATTTAAACACTGAAAATGTTTGCGCAAACAAGAACTTTTGATCGGTAGTCTTTGTATTTTTTATATTTTTGCGAAAAAGTCGAATTTCAATATTGAACGAGGCGAACTCGTGGACGGTTCCGCTTTCTGAGGGCTTGACGCCAGAAAATGAGCCACATCCTGTACAATTACGCTGTCGGTTGGAATTAATCTAATGCGATATCGAGCTGGAAATATGCTTTAATCGAATTAGAAGCCCATTACACCAAGTGTCGTCACTTAAATTTTAATTCGATTTATCACAAGAGCAATGCCTACTAACATGCGGACATTGAAGGAATGCTGGTCGAAACTCCGCTCTTTCATCATCGTGTCTTAATACCACTTTAGCTATTAAAACTGGTTGAGATTCCCCAGGCCGCTGGACCTCAGTGTTTCATTGCAGTCGAGTTTTCCATCTAGAATCCTGCCGGCTCTTCAGCCGCTGATGTTGAAAGGAAGTCGTCCATGCTCAGACTAACTGAACAGGATGTTCGCTTGCGAGCCACCAACGCAATTCAATTAAACCAACTATACCCGGTGGACTAACAAAGTTTTTAATTGCAGCTGTTGGTGACATCTGCTCCTTTGCCCAGACCAAGGAGCACTATGCCGCCAAACACCCATTGGACACTAATTTATTCGGTGCGGACACGCGACCTGACAGTCTCAAGTAAGTGTCTTCATTTTCCCTTTTGGACATTTTGAAGAGCGGGGCTTTTCTAGAGCCCTCTATGAGGCTGCCACCAAGACGCCAGTGCATGCGATGCGCCAATTGGATCGATGGCGACGAGACGGGCATCGGTCTTCACGATTCTTCGTTTGCACTCCCGTTTTGGGAGCTAAACGGAGGAAGATCCGGGCCAAAGTCAACATCGAAATCGAAACCCGAATGGTAAGTGCCGGACTCTTCAAGCTAAAACAGCTTTCGGAAAACCCCTTTGCGTTTCCATATCGCAAATTGGAAAAATGGTGTCGATGTTCTTGAACCCGCTTCCGAGTTTAAGTTCAAACGGCCTATTTTAAGACGACCGCTCGCCGCACTTAGACTCTCCTAAATAAACCTCTTCAAATAAACGCAAGAGCGTGCAGCGAAACAAAGTGGATTCGTGTAAATTACTGTTTATTTACGGACACCGTATATTTTCAGCCGAATTTAATGAACAGTATTTAATTAATCGCGGCCCGAATAAGGATAAACAAATTAGAACGGATTCTGTCCGTCATCACTCTCCAACCGCACGACGAAGTGTTAAAAGAGTCCAGATTTGGAAGAAAAACTGTTCGGATGAAGCCGGTTGAGAAGTGAAAACACTCATACGTCCGCCATCAAACCAGCATCTTTGTTTTATTATACGAAAAGAGCGAAATTAGTCGGTAATTGAGACTAATTGGCCATTCGTCCATTCGGACCATTACATGACTCGATAAAAGTAGTCATTCAGCTCGGAATTAATGAAACCGTATTAAAGCAATTTGGCACCGAATTGATGAACATTTCCTGTTTGCTTTGGTGGATTCAAGGGGCTGAAACGGGCGACTAGAAGATATTGAATGCGATTCTGAAAAAATTTCGGTCCAAACGAAAACGGATAGGAAAAGGCGACGGGGCCGCAGAACATGGGAAACGCTCATCTATTTTTCGCGCTCTGTGGCGCCTGACTATCGGCTAGAAATAATGGGAGCCGGTTTCCTGTTGGTTTAGAACACAAAGTCCGAACGACGTGTTTTAATGCGATTAATGACACGAAAATACCCGCATATTCCGCCGTTCTTTTCGCATTATGTTCTTCGCATGTTAACAACCCTCTATCGATCAAAAGCTCTGCTTGTAGTGCGTTTCTTATTAGTCAATGCCAGTTTGTTCAAAGGGTTTCAAGTAGTTGATTAAATGCATTTTTGGTCTTCGTTCCTTTTCCAGTTTTGCTCGTAATGAACTTCACTTGACTACGATTTATCTTGATTTGTACTGTATGTGCGCCGTTAGTTAAATGTGTCTTTTATGCATTTTTTGCCTTGGGTTCTTTCATCGTCTCTTATTTGTAGAACATTCAAACATTCAACATTCCATGTTGCTTCAGAACCTATCTATATATATATATTTTCAGTGTTTAAATTGCGCAAATTATGGAACGTTAGAGATAGCGACGATTGTCTGACTATTAACACGCCAATGTTTTGCATTAATTTACGCAGCAACGGCTATAGTTTCGCGAAAATATAAAGAATACAAAAATTATTCGCACGAAAAGTCCTTAGCAAAACAAAAATTT